ACCCTCKACAGTCTGCAGAATCCCCTCACTGATACACTGTAAATGATAATCTACCTTAACCAAAATCAAAGTAGACTATCACTCACCCACACCAGATGGAAAACTCTACAGACTGTCGGTTCACACCCCATCACAAGCCAGCAAAACATCCACGAAACAAAGAAAGGTCCGTCACAGCCAAAAAATACACTCCAGACACGCCGCTGGCACTAGAGGCACAGCATGGCCGCCTAGTATATAAAACTGGAAGTCAAAAGTGCACACGGATGCAATTTTCCCCAACATTGCAATTTCAGAAATTTCAAATTTTGAGGAAACGAAGGTCGAAGGTTTACGAGTGGAAAAAAAAACGGCGGGGTCAGTAGAGAGGGTGTCTGCTCTCACCAGCACACACACACCTCCCCCCAGCCGATGTTTCACCGAAAAAAAAAGAAAAAAAGAAAAGATCGTTGTTTGGAAGTACCCGGAAGAAACGTATCTGAACTTGACGAGCTTCATGAGAAGCAACAATCTGTTGCCTGCAGAAAAAAGGGAAATACATTTCACAAGAAATGGACTCCGAGCCGAAATCGACCCTCATGAAAATGGGCCGGTATGCAATTGCGCAAGAAACGGAGCCGAGCTCATGCCTGCAGAAAAAAAGGAAATGGGCGCCGATTGGAACAACAAATAAATAAATAAATAAATAAATAAATAGAAAACTGAAAAATAGCAACGAAGCTTTCCTCCTTGGAAAGTCGTGGGCATCGCAGCACAGCTGAACTGAAATGAAATCAAGGAAATGCAGTGGTGCATCCATATGGTCAATGATAACAGCATGCAAAAAGCGAACAGGAAGCCAACGTCCGCACCCAACTGACACAGTGTTCTACAAACAAACGTTGATGAAAGAAAAGTTATGGGTCCCAATCCGCCCAACTGACACAGTGTTCTACTAACAAACGTCGATGAAAGAACACAAACAACTACAATGTTCTCAGGGACGCTGGGCCCGTTTTCCAGCAGGTGCTGCTCCCCGCCAATTGATGGCGCGTATCCCCGGGATGCAAGTGGTGCCTGCTCTTACCAGCGCACCCCTAGCATCCGCTCGGGTTGTTTCCCACGAAAAAAAAAAAAAAAAAAAAAAAAAAAAAAGGGAAAGAGGAGAGGGAGAAAAGCAGAGAGAGGAGGAGGACAGTTCCCACTCAGGAGAATCAAAACAGTAGTTCCCTCCTCTTAGCCCACTTCCTCCTCGGGCATCTCCCTTCCTCGCCATGTCAGCAAAATGCACTTCTCCTCCTCTGCCGACCTCTGACATAATATACAATGAACAGGGCGCCTAACCTCCAATCCACTTAAGCAGCGAACAGGGAGGATGGCACAGATCTTCTTCTTGCAGACGAGCAGCATATCACACACGAAGTCACAGGTAAAATGCGTGTGCAGGTAGGCTTGGTCGTATTCGACACAGCAATCTCACAGCCCTGAGCATATCGCACTCGATGGCACAGGCAAGCCTAGGTAGGCTACTAGATACAAGGCTGAAAAGTACAGACATGAGGGCAGAGGAAAAGGAAGAGGAAGAGGAAGAGGAGGAGCAGGAGGACACACACCGTTTCCCTTTCCCTTTCCCTCCTCTTCAAATGCACGTCTCAGGGCACGCTCACACACACACGCACCCACACACACACACACACACACACACACACACACCACTTCTCTTTGTGGCCCAACTTCCTCAGGGCTATCCATGATCACGGCGATGTGGAGTCTCTGTCCATCAGTCCAATTCATCCTGGGCTGACTGTAGGGGGTCAACCTTCTGATAAGTCCGGCTAAACAGTCCGGCTAAACAGTCTCTCTGGCACAGCCATCCGTTTCTTTATGGAGTTGTGCATCAAACACGACAACACACACAACAACAGCAACAACAACACACACAAAGCCCCTCGTTTGTTGTCCTCTTGTCCCTCTCTGCCTAAGGTTTAACGGGCAGCTCCGTTTGACGATATACATGACGATATACATGTCGTCACAAAGTTATCAGAGCGCAAAATCGAAACCGAAAAAAGCAAAAGGAAGCAACAAAGATATCGATTCATTTTTTATCTTCTAACCTACAACTCCCCCTGTTCAGAACCTCTTGCGTACAAGGCCGCCCACGTGCATGTAGGTTGAGCGGCAGCTGCCCCCACCCCCGTGTGTCATATCGACCCACTTGCACACAGCCAAAAGGCAAAGAGGCAAAGAAAGAGGAAAGGAACAGCCAAATATAACAAAGCAGGGGGAAACAAACACATAACAGATCCTAGACGACAACTCCCGCATGCAAGCACCGCCCCCTACCCTACATCTCAGGCCAAACGCTCATTTCCCCTTGACAATGCCCAACCAGGATATCAATCAACACCCTTCCCTGCAAAAAAAGCATTCCCAGATAACAAACTATTCGTGTTCGCCAGCATAGACACCCTATCATGGTTTAGATATATTGTCACAAGAATATCAGAGCGCAAATGCGAAAAAAAGAACAAAAGAAAGAAAAACAAGAAAAAACGAATTCAGTTTTTTATCTTCTTCCTTACACAACTTCCCCTGTTCAGAACTCTTGCGTACAAGGCCGCCCACGTGGATGTAGGTTGAGCGGCGGCTTGCCCCACCCCCGTGTGTCATATCGACCCACTTGCACACAGCCAAAAGGCAAAGAGGCAAAGAAAAGAGGAAGGGAACAGCCAAATAAAACAGACAGAACAGGGGGGAACAAAACAGATCCCAGATGACAAGTCCCACATCCAAGCACCGCCCCAACACACACAGGCCAAACGACGGGACAAGACCAACCAGGATGTCAAACAATGTCGTCTGCAAAGAAATAAAAAAGAACCCGGAGGACCGGTATAAAACACAATCCCCGATGACGATTCCCACATGCAAGCACCGCCCCGCGCACAACAGGCCGAACAAGGGGAAACAACCAACCAGGATGCCAAAACAATAAAAAAGCCCGGATGACTAGTCCCACATAAAGCACCGCTACCTGCTGACTGAATAGACCGAATAACGGGACAAAACCAACCGGGATGCAGACAAGATTACGATAACACATCTACCATATCCATAGTAAAAAAAAACGAAACCATACAGTAGGCCCGCAAAACGGAATACCCCAGAAATGGGGAAAAAAGTAAAGGAAAAGAAACAAGAAAAGGAGGAATGACAAGAACAAATGTACAAATGATTTTCTACCATAACAAAAGCAAAGCCTGCTATACTGTCACACTGACTCAGAGCGCGAAGGCGAAAAAAAGCAAAACAACGTAAGGAAAGAAGGAAAGAAAGCCCCACCTGTTCATCACCTCTTACGTACAAGGCCAGCCAGCCACGTGGATGACAGGTTGAGCGTCACACAGTTTATCGGAGAGCAAAGGCAAAAAAAACAAAACAGAGAAAGGAAACAAGGAGAGCTCCGCCTGTTCATCATCACCTCTTACGTACAAGGCCAGCCACGCGGATGACAGGTTGAGCGCTGGCTGCCCCCATCCCCGTGTGTCACGAGGACCCACTTCCACACCGCCAAAGGCAAAGAGGCAAAGAAGTAAGGAGTAGGAAACCAAAATGACAAGGGAAGAGGAAGGCCTATCAGTCAAACAAAGCAAAAAATGACACATCCCGCAGATAAACCAATTGCCGCTGTCACAACAAAGTTCAACATATTTCTTTTTTCATTTTTTTTCTAGTCAAACGGAACACACATGTATATATCTAACTATATATATTATATTTTATATTATATATATATATATATCATATATCTCCACCTGAAGATATACAAACTCGCATCCTGAAGTTCCCCAGGAAGAAGAAGGCAGTGATCATAACGGCGGCGATCACGACATCACCGTTACGACGGTAACGGTGACGGATCTCCATCCTAACGGCAGTTGTACAGATCCGTCCTGCTAACGGTAGTGGTGTGACGGCCAGATCCAATCGAACGGTGAGAGAAGTGATACGATGTGAATAATATGTACATATACATAATAGTCTATTATGTACATGTATATAATAATCCATGTATATAATACTAGTAATTCATGTATATAATAATCCATGTTTATATAATGTGCAAGTCAAATATTACACGATTTATACAGATGTGTATATAATTGAAAACTCGAAAATTTTGCAATATAAATTTCAAGCTTTCCAAAAAAAAAAAAAAAAAAAAAAAAA